ATTTAATCCTTGGAGTTCATTGCCCATGTTATTTGTTAATGTGATAGGTGTTCCTGCATCTACAACCGGCACGACGGAAATTATCGACAACACAGAACAGAACCTTGTCGCATTTCGTCGTGAAGTTTACCTCACTATACAGTCATCACTCGACTTCCAAGAAGCTGCTCACAAGCTTCTTGAAAATGCGTGTCGCTAAAGAGCTTGGAGGTAACTGTTGTTCATCGTTGGCTTTCGAAGACATAATTTTCCAGCTCTCATAAAGCTTTTTTTTAGGCCCGATATATGCCAGTATGCTGGTGGATTGCTGCTGTCAACAGAGAACCTATGAGCGTTTTTACGGTTTACTTTGTGAAAGATTCTGTCGACTCCGGAAAGAGTATCAGGTTCCATTTTTGATAGAAATTCATGTTACCAGCGTAGGTTGACGACCTACGGTACTACTTGATATGGCACATTTTTCTTTGAAATTGTTGGTGCTGTTACAGATGACATTCGAGAAAATTGCTTGCGACACCTACGCAACAATTCACAGATTTGACATCACTAAGTTGAGAAACATGGCACGTCTCATCTCCCATCTGCTGTTCACTGATGCGATCTCATGGACGGTAACTTTTTCGATATATTTGACTAAATTACAGTACCCTCTTACTGAGGTACAACTAACTACAATATTGTGTGGGTGTACTTAATCTTCTAGTAGTTAGAGAACTGTGTCGAATCCACGAAATTTCTTCTTCAATTCGCCTTAGGGACAGGAACGCCAAGAATAGCCGTTTCTGGTTCAGCTATTAGGTGCTTACATTTTTTGCCATCAATCCCTCATTGCGATCGCCAAAGGTGTTGCTTGTGAGACATGCATGCACAGTATCACGAGCGTCAATTTTGAATCCTCGAAGGCGCCGCTATGATTGCTATGCTCCACCGACAGCATCGGCCAGATTTCCGATCGGTCTAGACCGTCAACGATTGGATAAAAAGAAAGTCAAGACGCAGCTGCAAGTCCCCCTTTAAGTATTAGCTGAATGCGCTTCTGGAAATCCACAATCCCCATGTGAGACACCTGTCAAAGTTTATTAATCTCTAGGGATTATCATTTCGTTTCTTTCAATTCTCGTATTCAGTTCTTTAATAGAATGTTTCAGATTTTCTCTGATGTTAAACTGACTGAGAACGACACTACCTCATCTGGCCGTATTTATTTGAAATATGTCTTTCAAGAGTTATGTGAATCAATGGGTCTTACAAAGCTATACGAGCGAGTCACTGATCCGTAAGTGATGTGTTTATGTTTTATCCGTTATTCCGCTTTACTTACGACTTAGCATTTTAGAACCTTGCAACAAGCATTCGCTGGTTTATTCCCACGTGATAATCCTCAAAATACGCGGTTCGCAATAAACTTTTTCACGCTCACTGGCCTCGGCGGGCTCACGTAAGTGTCGTCATATTATCGTAATCGAATGAATATTGTTTTTTTTAATTTTTTTTACTATTGTCTTAATGAAAATTGTGTGCGTGGAGGTAGATGCCCTCGAGTGGGAGAAAAATTCAATCGGTTCTTTTGAATCAGATTCAAGTGAGTCCCATATAGCTTCACAATATGTCTTCAAGGCAGTGTCATGTAATCGTTCGAGAGAGGTTTTCCTTAATTTCGTTTATTGTTGAGCTTTTGGAGCTTCATGACAACAGAGGCGCGCGAAACAACTCTAAAATGAAACTAGCCAGAGTTCTTCTAAAAAAAAAAACTAAATCAGCCATGACTAGCAAACCATCAGATCGACGGATTTTTTTTTACCAACACCACCACTCACTCCTCACTCACTCTCACGGCTTGATCTTCGGCAGTTTCTTGAGAAAGGCATGAAGAAAAAGAAGGAGGAATCTGTTGAAGAATCAGCATCGTCCTCATCTTCGTCGGACACATCGGGCGATTCTAGCGACAGTGATAGTGATAGCGACGGCGATGATGACTCAGGTGTGTTACTTTTCCATGAGTGAATACTTGACTAATCATTTAGGTAAGCAGAGCACTTGTGATTTGTTGGGAATCTCTTGCGTTCTATTGAAATTTGCTTAAATTTAATTTTTCTGTTTTCTTATTTTATCTAGGGATTGCTCTGTAATGTCAGTCTAAACTCATCTTACTACAGTACCAATATTTCTCTCTTTGTTGCTTGAAAACCGAATTTTTTTTGAAGTTCTGTTGACATTAGATTCTGTGAGCTAAAGCTAATATTGAAGCTGTGCTGCGTTAGTTCACAGCGGTGCTCAACAGTGTCTTTTATCAAAATTAATACAAGTGAAAGTTTGATTACAGATTCATCATCGTCTTCCTCGTCATCGTCGTCGTCTGACTCAGATAGTGCAAAGAAGCCCAAAGCGGCGAAAGACAGTGTCAAACGTCGCCTCAAGGAATCAAAGGAGCCCAAAGGGTACGATTGTAGTAGTATTTCCGAACAAGCGCTGATATTAGAAACATTTCAGGTCCGACAAGCAAATAAAAGAGGAACCGTTGTCACCAAGGAATGACAGGAGAAATGGGCGAGAAGAGGAGCGTATGGACAGCAGTTATGCTAGGAGGAAGCAGGAGGATAGAAGGAGATCAAGGTCGGGCTCCAGAACGAGGAAAGATGCGAAATCGCCGGCGAGGAGGCATGAAAAGCAGCACAGCGATCGCACGTCTTCGACAGCAGCTAAGGAGAGCAGCAGATCACGTAGTGAACGGAAAGATGACTCGCTTCGTCGGAAGAGTCCTCCTCGCTCATCGAGAAACAACGAGGATGACAGGAGCAACGAAAACACGCCTCCTTCAAAAACCAGAGATGCTGGAAGGTCGCGTAGAGAACGTCGTAAGGGTTCTTCCTCCAGTCGTAGCTCTTCAAGAGAAAAGAAAAGAAAGAGCAAGAATAGTAGTAATCATAAGGAACGGGAGCGGTCTCCTGAAGTCCGATTACGTGAATTACGTGTTGGCGATCGTGACCGGCGAGACCGTTCTTGAAGCTCTAACTCGCTCTGGATTACGGATCTGTTAGTGATTTCTCTGTTATTTATCCCATCACTTACCCGTTTTATATGTTCGCTAGTAGAGCCCTTTTAACCTTGGTTTAGTCATTGTTGCGTGATGTATCATGGGAACGACTGATTGTTATATTTATAATAAACTTGTCTTGTCAGTGAAATTTGAGAAGCTTTGTTTGAGGAGATCACTTTGAAGGAAGCTTTCAAATTCAGTTTTCTTCATAAAGATGCCATAGAGCGGATGGAGGTGACGCTGAGACGTCGTTCCTACGATGTGTATAGTCTGTTCCAGAGAGCCA